CCCCGTGGAGGACGAGGCCGTCGTGGCCGCGCTCCTGGAGAAGAGTGAAGGTAGGCGTGGCCTGGGCCGCCGTCCGCAGCTGTGCGCCCCTCCCAGAGCTCTGTCCCTGGGTGCAGTGGAGAGGTGTGCGTTAGCGAGGGTGGGCAGTGCAGGGCCCTCTGCTCACTTCCAGAACCCGGCAGAGAGCAGGGGCTACTTGGGACCGCCTCTGGCTTCCCTGGTGCCACAAGGTGGGGATTAGGCAGGCCTCTGCCTTCCAGCCTTCTTCACCCGTTTTGCCACCAACCTTCCCTCCCTGGGCATTCTCCTCTGCTGTGTTTCAGGGCTACTTGCAGTGACCACAGGGAACCCACAGGCAGCACTCGGGATGAGGGGTCGTCTATTAGGGGAGGGAACAGGTGGCCACAAGTCATGATAGAGGTACTGGTCCACACCAGCACCTCTCCTCACCCAGCAGCCACATCTCTCTAGCTCCTCGGCCTCTCAGGCTGTGGTCCCTTGGCCTTTGCCTCTTAGGCCGGGAAGCCAGCCTGAGGCCCTGCCTCACATCCCATGAACTTGGCCAGGCTCCTCTGTTCTGTCTCATGGTCTTCCTGCCTTGGCTGGGCACCTCTGCTCTGCCACGTGGTCTGTGCTGCAGCCTCCGGTCTCGGCCTCTCCCCCTTTACACAGAGATCTTGAATGAGCTCCACTCCCTTGAGAGTTCTGTGCTGCTGAGATGGCTCTCGTCCTAGGTAGTGGGCCTGGCTTTTGTGTGTCAGCAGGCTATACTCCCAAAGAACAAAGGGTGTGACTTGGATTGTGCCCGCCCTACTCAGGTCAGGCCTTCCGTCCCTCTGAGTCCTGGCCAGGTCCTGCACAAAGCTTCCCCCCAGGTTCCCCAGCCTGGTCCCTGGCCATCACCCATGGGGACGTTTGCTCAGTGTAGTGGTTGTGCGCGCGCGCGCGCACACACACACACACACACACACACGACTACCCACAGCTGCTACTACTTTGATGCCTCAGCCGGCCTGGTGGCTGTGCTCTGTGTCCCTGGGGGTTGCTCAGGGCTGGGTCACAGCGTGGCCACTCACAGGGAGGGCCCTACCTGTCTGTGCTCTGCTTCCCAGGTGCCCTGGAGCTGGCGGACGTGTCCTCTGAGCTGCCAGGGTTGAAGTGGATGCCAGGACTCTCACACTGGAAGGTACGGTCCTTGCAGAGTTGTCCTTGTTAACTGTGGCCAAGCCCTCGCGGCTGCTGGCTTGGGTCAATGCCACCCACACCTGACTTCGTCGCTCAGACTTGGTAAGGAGGGTTGGTGTCTGGTCAGTTTCCCAGCAAACGGAAACACTCTGGCCTTGCTTTTGTGCCTAGCAGCCAGCGCTGTGTGTTCTCTGACCTCTTAAGTGTAAGCCAGACCGTAGCGACTACAGGGCAGGGTGTACGTCTGCTCCTGCGGGGTTTCCAGGACTGTGTATCTGCACAGAAACAGCTTGCCTCCTCTTGCATCCCAGAAAGCAAACTCCCTGCCATCTAGTCGAGGCCGACTCACAGCTACCCTGCAGGACAGGGCAGGACTGCCCCTGTGGGTTTCCGGGACTGTGACTCTTTATGGGAGTCAAAAGTTCCATGGGTGTGGCTACAGTTTTCCTTAGTGACTGAAATTCAAGTTGTACTGCTAGTAGGAGACCCCACTTTCTAGTTTTAAATCTGCTTGAAGCAACAAATAAGAATGGAAAATGATCTCTACTTGTAAAGGGTCCCGGTGGCATTTCTAACCACAAGGTCAGCAGTTTGAAACCACTAGCTTCTCCTCGGGAGAAAAGTGAGGCTTTCTATTCCCATGAAGACTGACCTGCTCGGAAACTCTTGGGGTAGTTCTACCTTATGCAGTAGGGTCACTGCGAGTCAGGTGAGCTCAATGGCACTTGAGTTTGGTTTTTACTAATTGTACTGGTCTGTGGAACCAGAGGATTCCAGCGTTTCAGCAGAGCGCATGCATTTTGGGTCATCTGCAAACGCTGTCTCAGGTTTATGTTTGCAGTCTCCCAGCCCTGAAAGCATCAGCTCCTGTGTCCCTTTGGGTACTCCCACCCTGACTGGGTAGTCTCAGCTCTGTGGAGGTGTGAGTCCACATGTCTCATGGGAGCACTCCCACCACTGGCCTGTGCCTCCCTGCTGGTCACCTGACTCGTGGCCCCTGTCCCTTGCATCTCAGGTCATGACCAAGGATGGACAGTGGTTTGCAGATTGGGACGAGGTCCCACACAGCAGGCACACCCAAATCCGACCCACCATGTTCCCACCAAAGGACCTGGAAAACCTGCAGGCCCTGAATCTGCAGCGGTGGTGAGCCTGGGGCAGGGGTGGGCTTCTCTGCTGTGGGTGACAACCTTGCCTGGGGCTGACCCCGTGGAGCGGTGAGCCCTCAGGCAGGTAAGCCCTGCTTGGTCCCCGGGAGCTGCCAGCCAGTCTGGCGTCGTGAGCCCTCAGCAGATCCAGTGCGGACTGCTCTGTGGGCGAGGGGAGCTGGAGGCCCGCCCGGAGGCTCCTGGGGAGTGAGCGCTCCTTCCTGTCGTCTTCAGCCTCAGAATCCTGCCCCATCACCAGAACACGGGGGGCTTCTTCGTAGCCGTGCTCGTCAAAACGTCTTCCATGCCCTGGAATAAGCGTCAGCCCAAGCCCAAGGTACGCTTCCCTCCGAGGTCTGAGCTCTACGGAGACGGTGTAGGACTGCCGGGGTCCGGGGGCAGCATGGCTGTTGGGATCGGTGGGCAGGTATGTCCAAAAGGTTATTTCCTGGTCATCCACGTGGAAACCATTCACGAGGCATTTTACGTGCTTTGTGTTTTCACACGAAGCTTTCAGACTCGTGGGTCATCTGATTTCAAGGTCACGCCTTGGCCTGTGCTTGGAGGCCTGCTGGGCGGCACTCGGGACAAGTGGTGACTCACCGCATGTGGATTTTACCCGCTCTCCCCTGTGCCCCGGCGGACTCTGCTCCACTGTGGAGCGGAGCTGACTCTGAGCCCCGTGACTACACCTGCAGCCTCTGCACAGCGCTGGTGCGGTGACGCTGCAGCACTGGGCCAACACAGCAGGCGGGTCGTGGTGCTCACTGGGAGTCGGCTCTGGGGCAGCCCGTGGTGGGTGTGTGTGTGGCCAGTGTCCTTTGGGTGGGGGGAGGGGGTGAAGGGATAAGTCAGCGTGGACC